ATGTAAACATGAAACTAACTGTGAGCTTCATGATTCCTTAACAACTACAAAATTTAGAGTCAGCCTCCACGTAACAATGTTAACATGTAAACATGTAACTAACTGTGAGCTTCATGATTCCTTAACAACTACAAAATTTAGAGTCAGCCTCCACGTAACAATGTTAACATGTAAACATGAAACTAACTGTGAGCTTCATGATTCCTTAACAACTACAAAATTTAGAGTCAGCCTCCACGTAACAATGTTAACATGTAAACATGTAACTAACTGTGAGCTTCATGATTCCTTAACAACTACAAAATTTAGAGTCAGCCTCCACGTAACAATGCTAACATGTAAACATGAAGCTAACTGTGAGCTTCATGATTCCTTAACAACTACAAAATTTAGAGTCAGCCTCCACGTAACAATGTTAACATGTAACTAACTGTGAGCTTCATGATTCCTTAACAACTACAAAATTTAGAGTCAGCCTCCACGTAACAATGCTAACATGTAAACATGAAACTAACTGTGAGCTTCATGATTCCTTAACAACTACAAAATTTAGATTCGGTCTCCACGTAACATTGCTCCAAATCACAGGGCTCAAGACTTTGATATGGTAATGCTCAACATTGCTCCATAATATGCCATTATAAAAAAAGTAAAGCAGCTCCTAGCACTTATTCTGTAATTAGACCTAAATTAATGCAATCACAGGTTTAAGATCTCCATCAGTTATTACACCATGTGTTGTCCGGCTGTTGCATCAAGAAGTCGGACCTCATAACAGGTCATAACAGATCCTTCAGCGTCTAATTGTGTGATCATCATATCGTAGTCCAAATTAGGCCAAAATGGTATTTAAGATCTATTTACCGAAGTGTAATTATATTTCTGAACCATTTTTTACAATTTGCCTGAAAATTACACTAAATAAATACATAATTTTGACACTGCATAACTAGAAGATTAATGACAATACTATAGCAAATATGAATAAAATACAAAATCTGCAGACAGACTATTATTATCACATAATTTAAGTATTGTGATCATAAATGTAGATTAAAATTATTAACCTCATTAGCCAGACATCATTAATGATAACTTAGCGATCAATAACACAGATTTAAAGGGTAAATAAAAAGATAAGATAAGATCAGTGTGTCTACGGAACGGGGTATTGAATGTTGTGTCCTTGTATAGAGTTTTTCACTCTTCCGATTAATAAATTCAAATAAAAAAATAAGTAGCACAATTTTATAATATATATATCTTAACGATATTAATAATTGTCAACGTGGCATGTATTTTTAAGCTTTAAAGACACCCCGGCTATAAAGGTTCTTTAGTAGGTAGTCCTACTAAAGAACCTTTATAGTCGGGGTGTCACAGGTTCAAAAAACATGTTTTTTGATTTGTTTGCCCACATAATGGCCAATTAAATTTAGAATGGACTAGGTCGAGAAGATACTTTATTATTGCAAAAAACTTTAAAACCGTTTTTTTTTTCAGTTCATCATCATCATCATCATCAGCCTATCGCAGTCCACTGATGGACATAGGCCTCTCCCATTGCACGCCACTTAGATCGATTTTGGGCTTCTCGCATCCAGCTCCTACCAGCCATCTTGCGCAAATCGTCACTCCACCTGGCCTGTGGGCGTCCTACACTACGTTTTTTCAGTTATTGCGCTCATAAATAAAGCATTCAACATTCAAAAGTTGTTCAGTTGATGATTTTCAATGATTTTACGTAGGTATTATGTATTTTGTAGTTAGAGTTGGATTTTTTTCCTACCGAAAACATGCGGCAAAGTTGTAAAAGCGAAGAACAAAAATATAATAAAAATGAGGGAAGAAATCGCTTTATATCGTTGATATTTGGGTATTTAATAGGTATCACTCGTAGTATTGTTAACAAAATGCACCCGGTCCGTATTTTCAAAAGCAATTTAGCGACCTATTGCAAAATTTACAAAAATCTAGGTTTCCTAAAAAAATACATTCGAAAACAATGAGTGTGTTTTTACAACAGCACTGAAAAGAGAAGGAAAATTTGACACAATACCTTTTTTTTCCGTCCGTCTTACCAACGTGGTAGATATACTCGTAGTAGACCAAAAGCTCCTTTGTAAAGAGAAACCTATGTCCAGCAGTAGACTATTAAAGGCTGTTGATACTCAATCGTTTATTGCGTTCCATAATGTACATAAATGGTCTTAAAAATATAAAAATACAACCATTATGGATCCTATTGGGCACAGCAAAGGGTTAGGAGAGAGGATGAGAGATACGAGCTGTGATTTGAGGGTGTTTTTAAAAACCCTAAACCTAAAAAGTAATTTTTCAAAAAAATTGATTAAAATGTCTATGTCTTCTCACAAAGTGCCTCTTATAGGGATAATTTAGAGAGGATTTATATGGGTATTTAGAATATATCCGAAATTTAGTATAAACATGACGGAGTCGGATGACTCTTTTTAAGTAGTAACTAACTATAACTCTAATTATAACTCTTTTCAAATATCTATCGCATATATCATGGAGAGAATTCTTCGGACTAATACCAGCCGCAAATTTCCGCCGTCGTTCAACACGTCAAAATTTTCATCCTTATTACCTGGATAGTTGGCGCTCCACTACTGTGCGCTTTTCTAGACAATTTTTGCCCCGCACAACCAATCTGTGGAACGGGTTATCTTCTGCGGTATTTCCGGACCGATACGACCTTCAAACCTTCAAGAAAAAAGCGTACTCCTTCCTAAAAGGCCGGCAACGCGTTTGTGACCCCTGAGTTGCAGACGTTTATGGGCGGCGGTGGTCACTTTCCATCAGGTGACCTGTCTGGTCGTCTGCCCCCTCTAACATAAAAAAAAGTAGTGGAAGAAAGATAAAAGAGGGGAAAATATTTAATACATATTTTTTACACTAGAAACTGCACTGCATATGTTTACCCTAGAACTGGCGTGATCGTGATGATACTTTGTGTGATCCACAAATTGTTGTACTGAGTCTGGATGTTCTTTGTGTCCTTTTCATGTATGTTTGTAACGTCCCCGGGCCACAGGATATATTCCTAATGCAGGATTTATCTAAAAAAAAAGAAAAAAAATTAGTAGACATTTTTTATTTAGTGCGTTCTATGGTTGCGTTTCCTTAACTTATATTTTATCAATATTTTTGCCGATTGCTTCACATGTTATGATGGATTGTGTTAAGTAACAATACATGACGTTGGAAAACATCTAATGATAAAAAATAATATTTACTTGTTCGCATTTTATGCGCTCATTTTCCGTTCATTCGATCTTCATAAGATTTTGCAAACACGTTGTCAGGAGTCTAGATAATGACATAGATTAGTTTACATCCACAACTAAAGTACTGATCCTGTGTAATCGAAAAATTATATTACGCAGGCGAAGTCACGGGAAGAATTAGTTTTCAAAAAACTCATCTTTCTTAGATAAATGAAACAAGGATGCCCCTGATAAAAACAATAATATTTTCTTGATATTTAATCAGTCTCAGACGCGACAGCAATTTAAGGTTAGGTTAATTGAGTCATTTCGATTTTTTAACTAATTTGAAACAAGTTATACTCGTCATAGGTTATAATTAACTTTAAAACCGACTTAAATGGACCTACATTCGAATGATGAATTGTAATAACCTGTATTTTCTTTCATTCCATAATTTCACCCTTACGGGTGAAATTTTCTTTAAATTGGAAGGGGGCAAATAAAACAGGGTCTGATATACTTTTTAACAGTTAATTATCTATGACTTACACTAGCAAAACTTACAATACTTAAAATTTATACGAATTTTACAAATAAGTACATTAATTACATAGTTCTAAGCTAACAAACATTGAAATATTCATATGTACAATTGATGAATGAATTGTGAACATCCTCCTGTTTTTGAAGTCGATTAACAAAAAAAGAAAACTTGTGTATTTTTTTTAATCTATGAATTTGTAATGTATACCTATTTATATTTTTGAAAGAAAAATTGAGACGATCTTGATGAGTGAGGTGTGTTTGTTTATCTATCAAATTAGAATGCTTTCGTTCTTTTGTAGTTACTTAAGTTTTGTAGAGACAATTTACGATATACAGCGGAATATGAGGCGGGTCTGAATTTAAAATATATAAATATGAATCCCATTAATGTAAAGGTGTATGGAATTAGGGATATTTGTTACTCAAAGACGCCAGAATGGCTTGGCACTAGTAGAAGTTTAGCAGAGGTAGTAGTTTGAAATAAAAGTTTAACAAAATCGACATTGACACGGTAATAGCCAAATGCTTATAGTTACATATATGTAACAAGACTTGTTTTAAGAAATAGGGCATCAACTGATGCATTTAGTCTTTTATATAACGTAATGTAATAATTACTTGTATAGTACTGGTTTTAACTTGCCTTTCACTCAAGACGTTACCGTTACCAAAAATCTACACTAATATTATAAAGAGGAAAGATTTTTTTGTTTGTTTGTATCGAATAGGCTCCAAAATTACTAGACCGATTTTAACCATTTTTTCACGAATAGAATTCTACATTATTAGGAATAAGAAAAAGTAACAAAGGCTATAATTTATTTCTAAAAAACTTAGACATGTGCAAAAAAAACAAGTTATGTTAACAGAGGTGTAAAAAATCGTGTCAAAAATTTCCTGCACTGCTTAAATGGTTAAAGAAAAGACGAAATAATGTACTAATAAATTGTAGGACTAAAAAAGATCTACAAAAAAGTTATATTTCGGCTGTATTCTATATAACAGCTAAGCTATAAAAAGCGTTTTTATATTTTTTAAATTATTAAATATCCATTACATACCTACTTTAGATGCATTTTTTTGTGTGATTAAAGGAATCCTAGGGGTTAGGTCTATGTGGTAAATAGATGGCGCCATCTATACTGTTAGGTTTTGCACAAAGTTCACGAGGGCGAAGCCGCACGGGTCAGCTAGTAATGTAAATAATTCTTTTGTTCCCAGAATCCGGAGAGTTTCCCGAAGGCCACATATTCTTCGCCGGTATCATAATGTGCAGTGGATTCTTTATGATGTACTTAATAGAAGAGCTAGTGCATTTGTACATTAATAATCGAGCGAAGAAAAAGACTGATTCAAATTTTATTAAGCCATTCCATGTGAGAAAAGATTCTACGGCTGTCGCAGAGCCCGAGGCAAAGGAAAATGATGTCGAGAATCATACACATAAAGGCCACTGCCATAGTGCTGTCGTGAAGGGCGAGGATGGTGAACAGTCAGCTTTGAGGGGCCTGCTGATCGTGCTGGCGCTGTCAATCCACGAGTTGTTTGAAGGACTTGCTGTCGGTTTGGAATCCTCTGTTGCAAATGTTTGGTATGTAAAATTATATTTGTAACCAGACTGTGGTTAAACAGACTTATATATTAACTGGGAACATACATATTTTAGATAAATTATACCTAAGCACATAATATATGATTAGACCATTAGACCCATACACCAGTTTAAAGATTAAGCGTACATCTATAATTTAATTTTAAAAAATCTTTCCGATTGTTTCCAAAATAAATTAAAACCTCATGCAGTTCATTCGACAATGATGCATTGTTTTCTAGTATTGCCATTCGTAATGTGTTTTAAAGAGATATTGCATTGTTGAAAGTATCGTATCGTTGTATGTTGTCTCCGTTATGCAGATAACGTGTGTGCTAGATAATTAAATTACGTAGCTACTGTATGAGACATTAAATAAAAAAAAACATTGTGTCTTTTATTGTTGCCTTGTTGAAGAATGTGAGGGTTTTGTAGATATGGCTTTAAAGTTGTGTACTCTATGTCAATAAACTAATCTTAACAAAAGTAATCTTTAATTCATTAAAAATATAGTTTCATGAGAAAGCTAATTTTTCTTCGTTGTTTAGCTTTCTCATGAAAATTGTTTTATATTGAATTACATATTAGTTTTGTAATGAGTTTTATATAAATATACTACTCGTATATAGGGTTTTCCAACAAGAGGTGTTATTTTGAATCACCGGTATTTCGGTAGCTGTCACTTTTGAAGCTTTATTTTTTGACATTTGACAAGTAGAAACTACGCCATTACTAAAAATGGAACGATACACACTTTAACAACGCATTGAAATTATTAAAATTCACTACAAAAATGGTGAAAATCTTGCAGTCACAGTTCGCAAAACTAAAGCATTTTTTGGTCGTCGTGAAGCACCTTGTCGGACCGCAATACAGAAATTGGTTGAAAAATTCGAGCTGTTGGGACAAGTTAGTGATGTGAAGAAAAAAACCAGTGCACGTCGCTCAAGAACAACTGAGAATATTGCTGCTGTAGCCCAAAGTGTTGAAGAAAACGCAGGTTTGTCCATTCCTCGTCGTTCTTTGGAATTGGGCATTCCACAAACGTCATTAAACCGTATTTTGCATAAAGACTTGGGTCTTAAGGCTTATAAAGTTCAGTTAACACAAGAACACAAGCCGGCCGATCATCAACAACGTCGTGTCTTTGCTGATTGGGTACTTGAAATGCATGAAAATGATCCGGAATTCCATCGAAAAATCATCTTGACTGATGAGGCCCATTTCCACCTAGGAGGCTACGTCAACAAGCAAAATTGTCGCATCTGGGGCTCGAAAAACCCAAGAGTTATTGTTGAGAAGTGACGTGTGACTGTTTGGTGCGGTTTATGGTCCGGCGGGGTCATTGGACCTTACTTTTTCGAAAATGAGGTTGGATCAACACTTACGGTGAATGGATTGCGCTATCGAGTTATGATTAATGATTTTTTATGGCCGGAGTTGGATGATATTGATCTGGACAACGTTTACTTTCAACAAGACGGCGCTCCGTGCCACACAAGCAACGAAACCATTGCTCTTTTACGGGAAAAGTTTCCTGACCTTGTTATCTCTCGAAGAGGTGATCACAATTGGCCACCGAGATCTTGTGATTTAACACCTTGCGACTTCTTCCTTTGGGGCCACGTGAAAGATAAGGTCTACGCCAACAGCCCAGCGTCGATTCAAGACCTCAAAGATGGAATTCGTGAGGCTATCGAGGACATAGGGCAGCCACTTTGCGATTTGGTTATGCAAAATTTCATTAAAAGGATATGGTCCTGTAAGCGTGGTCGAGGTAGCCATTTGACTGATGTTATCTTCCATTATTAACGGCATACCTTCCTCTTTATTATAAAATAAACAGCCGATTATTTATCTTAAAAATTGCATTTTTCTTTGAATACTAAAATAACACCTCTTATTGGAAAACCCTTTATATATTACATATAACAACCTAAGGAATTGTCGAAAATAATCAAAACCTTAACTTCAAATGATGAAACAGATCCATACCCCGAACAATTGCTGCATAATAACTCTTCTATTGAGTCTTCCTTAAATCGTTTCAACTCTTACTTCATCAATGTTGGAAAGTCTCTTGCTGAAAACTGTAAGCCTGTAGGTTACAAGGTTGATAAGTCTCTCAATATCTGCACTAGTATACCAACCAACTTTTTCGTGTTGGCGAGTGTAACGGAGGAGGAACTTGTAAACTACATAGGAGCTCTTAAAAATAATTGCGAAACGGGATGTGATAATATTTCTAATAACTTACAAAACTGTATTAGTGCCTTCCCTTACTCACATTTTCAATAATTGCCTTGAATGTGGTATTTTCCCCATTCATTTAAAAGTGGGCTCCCTCTATGTGGCAGAATCTTGATGCTCCGAGATTTATTTCGCATAACCCACTTGACAGAAATTTCTTTAAACGAATATGTTTAAGGCATATAAATATTGAGTATAATTAATTATAATTAATGCCGAATGTTTATTTGTCCGAATTTACAATGGCGTACTTTTGAGAGGGCATAATTTTATTTAGCGTAACGGATACGACGATAATTAGGTACAATTTTACTTGGCATACTATAAAGATGGCAGAATTTCACTTGGAATAATTTTATTAGGCATATCCATAAAATAGCATTTTTAACCTTAAATTAAAATATTATCTTAAAAAGTCATGTCTTGCTACAAACGTTTGTGAGAAAAACGAATCGCCGCAAAACCGACTCCACGTAGTCTTGTCAGCCCTACCCCTAGAGTGTAATTTAAGACCGCGTAGGCGCAGAGGGGCGAGGCGGCCCGCGAGCAGAGGAGGAGGTGGTTTCAACGCGACGATAAGCTCGCGTGGGACCGCCAGAGCTCCGCAGCTCCGGAGACGTGACAGATATGCTGCATGCTGCATTCTTGCTTGCATGCTTGCCTGCATTCCTGCTTGTATGCTGCGTGCTTGCTTGCGTGAATGGTGTATGCTTGTATTCATGCTTCTTATAGGGAAATAAAAACCAAATCCGTCGTGAAATATATGTGTTAAATCAATTAATTTTAATATTATGGTAAGAAATACAAAATGATGGATACAAAATAATGGTCTTTCAATTGTTATAGATATGATATATATGCCAAAAGATGATTCTCACTGTAAACTTTCTGAGATATGATAGTTCTGCCTTTTAATGACTATCGATATGAAATTTATGCCAAAGACGATTCTGACTATGAATTTTCGGCGATATGATGGTTCTACTTTTTAATTATTATGGATATGAAGTTTATGCCTTAAGATGATAAAAGCCTTAAATGAATGTCTGTAAAATGAAATGTATGTAAATGTAAAATGAATGTCTGCCAAACGATTTTCTGCGAAATGTAGTTTATGCTATCCGTTGTTATGCAAAATAATATTATGACATAAAAAGTTCTGCTATTAAGGGCGACCTATATATAAGAGTGGTGACAGAGACAACATTAAGAACTATCGTCCTATTTCCATCCTACCCTCTTTCTCAAAGCTATTAAAAAAAAATATAAATAACAGACTAATCAAATATCTTAAACATAAAAACTTACTGTCGAATAACCAATTTGATTTTCGCAGTGAGAGGCACTGATGAAGCAGCCATGGTTTGCCATTTTATCATGTCACGTTTCACTTTAAACCAACGCTTGGAAATTGTCCAAAATTATTACGAAAATTCGCGTTCTCCTACCGCTACAGTAAGAGCGCTTCGCGCAAAAAACGGTCGTCATAGTGCTCCTTCTGTGCGCGCTATAAATCGCATAATAACAAAATTTGAAAGTGAATTCACTCTCCACGATACTGCTGTGCCTGTGAGACAAAGAAATGCCCGTAGTGAAGAGAATATCGCAGCCGTTCAGGCCAGTGTTGATGCGAATTCAAATCAATCAGTTCAACGCCGTTCACAAGAGTTGGGGCTCTCTCCAATGACCACCTGGCGTATTTTGCGGTTAGTTTTCGGCCTACACCCATACAAAATTGTTTTGGCACAAGAATTGAAGCCATCCGACCATTGTATCCGGCGTGAATTTGCCGATTATGCACTGGAAATGATGGAAGCCGATGACGATTTTCATCGTAAAATCATCTTCTCAGATGAGGTCCATTTCTGGCTCAATGGATTTGTTAATAAACAAAATTGTCGCTATTGTAGTGAGTCAAATCCACGTGTGGTTCATGAATCACCATTGCATCCGCAAAAAATAACAGTTTGGTGCGGTTTATGGTACGGTGAAATCATTGGTCCGTACTTCTTTGAAAGTGACGAAGGAAACCCTGTTACTGTGAATGGCGAGCGCTTTAACTCGATGTTAACCAAATATTTCTTTCCGGAATTTGATGATATTGATGCAGACGACCTTTATTTTCAACCAGACGGTGCACCACCTCACATTACTCGAGTGAACATGGAATTATTGCGTGGAAAGTTTGGTGAGTCGTTAATTTCGAGAAATAGACCGATCAGTTGGCCACCAAAATCGTGTGATTTAACACCTTTAGACTATTTTCTTTGGGGTTACGTTAAATCTAAAGTGTACAGCAATAATCCAGCTACAATTCGTGACCTAAAAACCAACATTCGACGAGCCATAGCCGACATACCGGCCGAAATGGTGCACCGCGTCATCGAAAATTGGCGTGAGCGGGTGACCGTCTGCAAAAAGAGCCGCGGCGGTCATTTGGCCGATATATTATTTAAAACATAAATTGCATAAAATTATCTATCAAATAAATCAATCGGATGCATTTTTCATAAAAAATTGTGTATTTTTTTCAATTTTTAAACCAGGACGTTCTTATCGGTAGACCCCATACATAAGTTGGAGAGATTGGGAATAAGAGGTATACAGGTAGCCTATTTGAAAGTTATCTCACCGAACGAAAGCAGTGTGTAAAAGTAGGTACTTATGCGGTTTCCTTCCTCCCTGTTACGCACGGAATTCCTCAAGGTAGTATTTTAAGTCACTCTATTTATCGTTTATATTAACGACTC